TATCTACGTTCTCATAACAAAATACTGTTTAATTTTCTCCGAAAACTATATAAACAAAATTAGGTCACCCATATATAATACATACATGTATGTAATATAATACCGGTTCTTGGTATTTTACTGTTGAGTGGGGACTTTCTTAATCAGCGCTTTTAATATTGTAAAATGCTGTTTGAATTTAGACGACCTATTTGTTTTATGATTTTTACTGAATTGAAATGTTTACAATTTTTACGTAAATCATTACTACAATGTGTATTGTATACAAATGGTACATTTTAAATTTACAGGGACTGTATGCAATTTATTTTTTTATTCGGATTTCCACTGTTTATTGGGAAACCGGTAAAAGTTCAACCCAGGATTTTCTCACTAAAAACTCCCAAAAATACAATCTTACCAAGGTTTTTTTCGATATTTTCCTGTTTTATTTTCAAAAACACTCGTTTGTAACATACGTTTAACTGCTGCTTATAAAAAGCTGACTTCTGGTTACGATGATAACGGCCAAAAAATTGTTAATATTGGGTTAAGGGCGAATTTTCGTTAAATTTACATTTTGTATATATACAGGTCAATTTGATCGTTTTTTTCCTTTGTGATAGAACTAGAGATTTAAAAGTTCGGAAAAAAACAGGAAAAATTGGAAAAAAACAGTGTTTTTTTCCGTTTTTTTCCCGAGCCTTGGAAAAATTGAAAAACGGAAAAATTGAAAAAATATTTAAAAAAAAATGAAAATCTAAAAAGTATTTTGATTTGATATAATTTATGTATTAATGAGTGGAAATTAAATAAATATATTTTTGCAGTAGTAAAGAAGTCTGTGCTTTGAGCAAAAAGCATACCATTGTGTATTGTGGGTACAATAAAAAAATATATTTAATACAAGATCGGTCCGACGCGTCGGTTCCTAATCAGCTGATCGGGCAGGGTTGCCATTGTGAAGTTAAAATCATTGAATATGCTACTAACTCCTGGGATAGTGTATTTTGAATGGTTACCAACAATGATTTTAATGTGAATTACGGCCGTCGTCAACTAGGCAACTAGGCTTTTTTCATCGTTAAAAAGCATGACCCTACAGGTGCCTCTCCCGGGAATTTTTTAATCAAAATAATTTATAAATATTATAAAAAATATTTAAAATATTTTTAAACATTTTTTTTAGTTTTTAAGAAAATATCAATTTTTCCCAAAATTTCCGTTTTTTTCCAATTTTTCCAGGAAAAAAACAGGGTTTTTTTCCGACACTCAATTTTTCCGGAAATTTTGAATCTCTAGATAGAACTGTGTAATATACTGCAAAAAAATTCTATAAGTTTATAAATAACAAAAATAAACTTTAAAGAAATAAAACTTATAGGGTTAATCTGAAATAGGGAAGGAACACAAGGAAGAAATGAAACATTGTCCTCCTCCTAAACGTTTTATGACACATTGCTTTTGACTTTTTCAAACGTTATTTTTCAGAAATACTGTTAAATGTAAATATCTTTCGGCATTTGTTTGGAATTTCTACTATGCTATAATACAAAATGAAAATAAAAAAGTTCTAAAACAAGAGTTGTATGTAGCGTTTTGTAAAAGACACCAGTGTACGCAAAAAAATCTTACCTTTAAAATATTTACAAAAAAATTCACACACTTTACACGTGCTCATTTGTTGTTGCCGAACTATCAAACTGGATGCCCTCTAGAAATAAAACGCCAGTATCTCTATCTCGTGTCTCTATTTCGAAGCAGTCGGCATAGAAGACGACGTTAGGAAAAAGACAAGATTTTTGAATGTCAACTTTAATATTTTTTTCTGTTTAAACTACTTTGTAGAAAACTATTTTAGTTTTATATACGAATAAAAGAACTTTCCATTGTTCAAAAATAATTTATTTTTTCAGAAGAAAGCTGCATAGAAGAAGAATATAATAATTTAAATTAAAAAATCGCCTCTGGGGACAGTTAGGTTACAGGACATTTCACCTAGTTTTTCTGCCATATATGAGACATTCTTTTACAAATCGTACACCTATTTTGACATCAGGGTTTGGATTCGCATGAAAATTTTTTTACCGCTTCTATTCCGTAAATAAGCAAATACGTGTATGAGGTTTTCTGTAAAAAATTTGTTTTTTCAGAGATATGTTGATATAAAGTTTTTATGAATTGCGATAAAACGATAAATTCTCTTCTACATAAAACCCATTATCTCCGGTTCTACTGATCGGATCGATTTTGTTTTTTTTTTGTTTTAAACCTTATTGAATAGGCTTTTTAAATAAATAAATTAAATTTTTTTTTTTTTTGGTATAGGGAGTTAATAACAGATTAATTTTTTAAACTAGTTTTTCATGTTTGCCCCCTCTATAAAATAAAAGGAAAAAAATACTATTTTATGCGCTTTTTCTTTATCTACAAAATACATTTTTCAGAACAGTGGAGACTCTTTTGGATCGGAAGATATTAAACATTTTCGAGCGCGTGACAGGACTGTCAAGCGCGTAATATTCAAACGTATTAGTGCATGTGGCGGGTGACGTGATATTTTGTATAAGAGTGCCATGATTCGACATCTTTTAATTGGTGACTTATTTGTGCAAATGTCAATTCTGCCAGTTAATAAATTTACTCATTAATTGGAGTTTGTATTATTTAAAATTTAATTTATTTAAAATTATTGAAAACCTTTAAAATCAGAATTAATTTACAAAAAGCGCTGGTATTTTTTTAAAACGATGTATGAGTTTACACTATCCTAAATAGTGATGCCGCGAGACGAGACGAGAAAAGTCCTTCTCTCGTCTCGTCTCGTGCAGCGAGAGAAAATGGGTCTCTCGTCTCGTCGAGAATACTCTTTTCTCGCTCGAGAGTGCCTTTCTCTCGTCTCGTCTCGTTTCTCTCGTGGTAAAAGTACCTATGTATGAATACAAAAATTATTTGCAATTAAATACGTATTCGTTTATATTTTTTCTATATAAATTTAAACTGGAAATAAAAAAAAATTGTGCCAAGACCACACTGATAAAGTAAGACTTTTTACGCCGAAAATGTCGCACATTTGAATCAAATGGTTGGATCTATGTGGAGTAGTTACATCTATAGATGTAACTGTAACACTGAGAAAAAAGTTTATTGCTCCCAAATAAAAAAAATATTTATATATATATTTATATTTATCGTTATTATTTCGACTATTTAGAGGTAATAAACAATATATTCACTATTAATAAAAGGATTAGCTACACAGTTTATTTGTCCCATTTTTTTCTCAGTGTAGTATATAGGCGCAGTAGTTTTTAGATGGATGGATCAAATCATCCATCCATCTGAAAACTACTGCGTCTATATGATGTAACTACTCCACATAGATCCAACCATCTTGTACCTACTGCGCATGTCCGTCATTTTGAATCCGCAATTTTGTTTTTTGAATGGATATCAAATTCTTAATCAGGGACCCCATAAATATCTAAATACTAAATTTTACCCAAACCATTAAAGCCGAACGACAAATTTTCGTCATATTGGATCAGCCATTTTATTTTTTGAAGAAATGGATATCAAATTTGTAATCAGCCCCTCAAAAACCAAATGTTGTTGATAAGTTCATTGAATAAGCAATGCTTATTAAGCATACGGGTTGTTTAATAGTATAAGGAGTGGCATAAATGTGCTTATACAGGGTAAATTTTAAAAATTAATATTATTTTATAAGTAATTTTTTTCTTGGTTAACCTTAAGTTGTGTTATAAAATAATAAAACGTTATACAGGAACAAATTTTGTTTATTATGAAATGCGAATAATGTTCTCATTGGTCCAAATAAATATCGCAAAATTAAAATTTTTATGTAAAAAAATTGTTTACTTATTACCGGAAGAATCGAGAGAACGAGAGAGATCGAGAGAAACGAGAAATTCTAGAGCGAGAGAGGGCATTCTCTCGTCTCGTCTCGAGCCTTTTTTCGAGAGAAAATCTCCCTCTCGTCTCGTCGAGACGAGACGAGGCGAGAGGCGAGAATCTCTCGTATCGGCGGCATCACTAATCCTAAATGTGTTAGCGTTTCGAAGATGTCTGATTAGGGGGTGTCCATTAATTACGTGAGTCAATTTTAGCGATTTTTTGACCCCCTCCCCCCTTGCTGAGATGTCGTGAGATTTGGCTCAACCCCCTCCCCCTAATCTCACGTTAGATTTTAAAAAATGCTTATTTTTAATGTTTATACGTTAAACTGCTTGATTCTGTTGGATTTATTAAAAAAACATACTTTGTTAAAAATTACGTGATATTTGCCGAGACCCCCCCTCTCCCTTACGGCTTGTACTGGTCACGCGCTCGAAAATATTTAATATCTTCCGATCCAAAAAAGTCTCCATTTTTCTGAAAAATTCATTTTGTAGAGTAATAAATAGTGCATAGAACAGTATTTTTTTAATTTTTTTTCATAGAGGGGGCAAACACAAAAAAATCTAGTTTATACAAAAAAAAATATTTTTTTCATATAATAAACAAAACACAAACTTTTTAAATATTTATCTAAAAAGACTATGTAATATGGTTTAAAATAAAAAAAAATGAAATCGATCCGATCAGTAGAACCGGAGATAATGAATTTTAAGTACAAAAGAATTCAGCATTTTTCAAATTTTATCAAAAGTTTAAATCAATATATCTTTGGAAAAATAAATTTTCTGCAAAAATTTCGATATAGGGATCGGCTAAATTTATGAAAAGATGCTGTAAAAAAAAATTAAGTCATTTTAAAAATTTGAAAAAATATGTTTTCTGTAATCCGTACGATATGTAAAAGAATGTCTCATATAGAAACACAAAGTAAATAAAAAAAAATAATACGATGGGTCCTAACAGAAAGGGGGTATTTAAATATAATATATACAAAACTTATCAACAAAGGTCAAAAATAAAAATAAAATTAGCTGGGGACAGCAAATGTACATTTAACGAGAATTTGCCCTTAAAACGATGCAAATTCAAATAAATCTCACCTTGTAAACATCGATCTGGTCGCAGAAGATATCAAACTGGCTGTAGAGATTCTCCAGCATATTAATCACCATCATGGGGGGTCGCGGTGGAGCAAATGGACGTAAAACCGACGATATCGCTGAACAGCATTGTCACGTCTTCGTGTGTTTTGGCCTCGATCGTTTCGCCTGAAATAAACAAAATAATCGCTACAGTCAGTCGTGAAATTAGAACGAACAATAAGATGAAGCCCAGCTAAAATAATTGTAAACTTGTTTGTTGTTAAAATCAGCTTAGAAATTAAATTTTGAGTGGATAAGCCAATGAATTGTGAAATGCAAAAGGCTTCAGCATTTTGTAAAGCCTTGTTAATTATTTTATGAAACTATGAACTGTAAAATAACCGTATTGATTTAACTTTGGCTCACTTACTGAATATAAATTCTATAAATACTTTTCATTGTTACAATTTGTTTGGATTTTTAATGAGTTTTTCTTTGTATATGTTGGTCATCGTAAAAGGGTTATTTTGCAGTTTTGCTATTAAAAACATTGAAACACATTTTTTAAAATAAGCCACTTTTTACACAACTGAATAACGAAGCTATTTATACTGTTTATACAAAATGGTATCGATTGTACTATGAACAGCAGGAACAATTTTATTAGAGAAATAACACTGATTTACAAATTAATACTTTATTAATGTTATGTTTATTTTTATTGTAGTATTTATTTATCTTATTAGCTCTCTAAAAATGAATTAGTCAAAAATGACTAATTTAATAGTTATTAGTGGCTGCTTTTTCACTTGTACCATGGTTAACCATGGATTACCATGGTATCCCAAAATTTAACAGCAAATTCTTATGTAAAATTGTCCCCTGAATCTGAAAAAAATCATAAAAGTGGAGCAGTTTTTGAGATATAGTCAATTCCATATTAAATAGAAAATTGACTATATGTCAAAAACTGTCCTACTTTTTTAACTTTTGACGACATTTTCGGATTCAGGGGACAATTTTACTCAAGAATTGGTTGTTAAATTTTGGGATACCATGGTTAACCATGCTACAAGTGAAAAAGCAGCCAGTAATAACTAATAAAATAAAATAAAAATAACTATTAAATTAGTCATTTTTGACTAATTCATTTTAGAGGGAGTAGTCAGTGGCGTAGCGACAGTACCGCGAACGCCCGCCAAGCGGGGGGCCCTAACCTCGTAGGGGGCCCGGCCGATACTTGCCGCAAAACATTAAAATACTTATTTTCATCTTACTAAAAATTGAATAATAATAAATGATTAATTAAAAATATCATAATTTACTAAAATGTAGGTAGGTACTTGATATTATTGGCCTACCATCACAGCATAAATGTAAAACATCTAACGGAACCTTTTGATGAATTTTAAAAATCGCGCTTATTTAACAATTGACAGCGGGTTTACGCAGGAACGATTCAGAACTTGGAAACATGCGCCTAACTCTAAACAGATATGCGCATTTAGTTATGCGTATTATTTTGACAGTTCTGAAGCGTTCTCTTTGCGAACCCCTAAAATTTTGACGATTGTGATTCACAAGTTGTTAGTTTGTTTTTGTTTTATATTCGTATTGGTTCAAGTAGGTTCTTATTTGTGACTGCTTCTGATTATTTTATTTTTCCACGGTTTTACATGCGTTTCTCGCCGGTCAGCTGTGGTGAGCACAAAGTGGTCTAGTATTTACATGTAAGTATTTCTTTTATTATTGGTTAGTTTAATGTTTTAGAGAGTTTAATATATAGAGTTACTGATTAAATATTATTAACTAAATATACCTATTCAAGGATGCCTAATAAAATTATTATAGTTTAAGGTTATTTTTTTTATGTTAAAAAAATATGGTATTATTTCCTATTATTTTACTTATAATTTATAAGTAGGTACAGTGGAGAACCTTATTTTTTTTTAAATTATATTTTTGTTACTTTTTGTTTATAAATAATTTAAAAAATTATGTCACCGGATGTATTATTTTTTATTTACAATATAAAACCATGTAAAAAACACCTGAAATCAGGGGACCCAGTAAGGATTTTCGCGGGGGGGCCCGAAATTTGTCGCTACGCCACTGGGAGTAGTATCTGATTTTTTATGAGGAACAAAATATAATTGTTCATATAAAGGTGAAAAACTTAAAAACTACTAAATGGATTGGGTATTAAGAGAGTAATATTCGTCAGCGATTCGATTGTGTTTAGTTTGACACCTTTTGCAACCAGGATGGCCCTTTCCAACTCGAGATATCTCCCAAATTGTAAACAAATAAAAAAAATATTTTGAGTTTGGCCGGTTGTTAACCACTGTATAATTGGTATGGACAGAATATCACAACAGTTTGTAATAAAGATTTAGCTAACCACTCCATAAATATAAAGTTTATGTGCAGGTAACGCTCCATAAAAGATAATGCAGTTTACTTTGTGTGCAATAGTGAAAAATCGACCCTGAAAGTTTACCATATTAAACTTAACAATGTTTCAACTTTATGCTATAAAATGAATTTATGTGCTTAAAATGTCTAATTTGTCATCCCACTTTTATATTTTATTTATTATATTAAATTATTTGTCAAAAAATTTTCCTGTAGACTAATATTTATAATAAGTAAGTTCTCTTAATGGCAGTGGGCCCCGTATCAAAAATCTGGTGGGGCCCTTAAGAGGGAAAAGCTGCTGACAAAAAAATTTCTGGATGTCACGCCCACAGTCTATTTGGGTATTTAGGGTATCATTTTTTTGCATTTACCAATTTTTTATAATTTAATAAATAATATATGTATGTATAAACTAGGGTGATTTTTTCGCTCCCCACTCAAAATCTTGTTAAAAATGTTAAAAAAAAATCCCTGAAAATTTGAGCCTAAGATTAAAATTAAATTAAATTAAAATTAAAATATATTTCAGTCTATAGAGTCTATAGTATAGACTGTGGGCGTGACATCCAGAAATTTTTTTGTAAGCAGCCGGCCCCACCAGATTTTTGATACTGGGCCACTGCCATTAAGAAAACTTACTTATTATAAATATTAGTCTACAGGAAAATAATTAACTCTAAGTACTCTCCCAAAGCGTATAAAGATTTCCCACTTAAAATGCACGAAAACTTTTATTTTTTTTTAAATATCTATCTCAGCCACATTTTATGCTATTGGATTGTTCCAAAAAGGGATTTTCTCGTATTCAAAAGTTCTACAAAAATGCTTTATGTGCCGTACCTGTAATCTACACCTCAATAAATCTGATTTTAGTGAAAAATTCTGGATTCATCAAAAAAATGTAAAGAACAAACTAGTGGGAAATTTATATTTCTTTAAAAAAGGTCTTATAAGTTGAATCACTAAGATTGATATTTGTTGACTACTCGTAATCAAAAGTTCTACAAAAATGCTTTATGTCCATAGATGTAATCTACACCTGAAGGATGGTAAGGGACACTAAATCTGATTTTAGTGAAAAATTCGCATATTTTTGAAGATATTTCAAAAGTGACTGGATTCATCAAAAAAATGTAGGACAAACTTGTAGAAAATTTAATTTTCTTTATAAAAGGCCTATCTGTTGAATCGCTAAGATTGATATTTGTTGAGATATAAAGCGTTTACATTGACATTTTATGAAATTTTTCAGGATTTTCGTACCAAACTTTTTATAAATGATTATTTTCAATTGTTTATCAGTATAATTTTATGTAATTACGTTTTTTCTACAGTCGGATGATTAGAGAAAAATAAATACCTAAAACAATTAAGCATTCGTTGGAACAGGAGGGTTCAAAGTCGAAGTATAAACAATTAAATAATAATATTATTTATTTATTTAATTCCATGCCTCAATTTTTTTTAACATGTTAGTAATATGTTTTTTGCTTACGTATGTCGAAGCCAATCGGGGCCCCCCCTATAGCCGGGGGCCCCGTATCATTGATACGGCTGATACCGCGGTAGCTACGCCCCTGCTTAATGGACTAAAATAATATGCTTTAAGCATATTTTGTGAAGCGTACTTAATTATTTAAGCATTTTAAGTATTTTACTAGGGGTATATAATATATATAATATAATAATATTAGAGTATATTTTGATTTGCTCAGTGGCGGCTCGTCGTATAAAGCAACTGAGGCCGGGCCTCACATGTTAAAATTATAATATAATTTGAAATGTTAGATACATTACTTATTTAAATATAAAACGTTTTTAAACTAATTTCCAGTCATTAAAAGTATCAAAACATCGAATAACCATCAAAGTTTAAAATATTTCCTTTAAATTTAGCGCGCACCCCTTCCAACTTTAATTCTAAACGCTTAAATCATTTCCCAGACCGCATAATAGGAAAATAGTAAGCCCCGAAATTTGCGCAAGGCGTGAATTTTTGTAGACATTGAGGCCCACAAAGTTGGGCTTGTACCACAGTATATGGAAGACAGCAGAGTCAGTCCCGAGATCTGTGCGGCTCGCTTATCAGCCGTTGTAAATACTGGGCGGGGCGTGGAATGATATAGTAAACAAAGCTTATTAATTAGATCTATGCGTGTTTATAGTTTCTTATTTCTGTTTAGTCTTTGCCTTACACAGAGAAAAGTAATCTCTTGATTTTACTATATCTGTCTTGACTCAAATAAATTATTTATTTCGATATGATACAAGAAGATATTTATTTAGTGGAAAACTTGGGTTTATTTGACTTTTTAAACTGATGGTTTGTTTAATACAAGTAAATATTTAGTTGACTTTTTATCTTACTTAAAGAAACAAAACATTTACTTGTATCAATTGTATTATTTTGTTAAAATAAGATATTATATGCTTGTATTAACATTTGATAAAACTAAATCCCTACAACCTATATCCAAACAATTTAATTAATTGCTCTAAATAAATATTTCTTTACAATTAATCACAACAATAAGTTGTTTTCAAGAAACTCATGATTTACAACCAAATAATAGTATTTTCTTATTGTAAACAAGAAGTTACTACGAATAAGACAATTTTACTTCATACAAGAAAAACTGTTTCAAATAAATACATTTTCTTAAATCAAGAGATTACTTTTCTCTGTGTAGCGTTAAAATGGAAAGTTGTGATAAAAATGCAAGCGTAAAATACATAATTGTGTTGTGAATTCAGGTAAAAATAATTCAAATAATTATAAAAGATCATTTTTATTTTAATATACTATTATATTCACAAAAAATATAAATAAAAATATTCATGTTTTTTATAGTTCAGTGTTAAATCGTTGAGTTTCATATACCTACTGTGCTTGTACATTATTATTTTGTTGTTGTGCGGTGGTGCCTTTATTTATCTTAAAATAATTATTGTAAGATAGGTAAAAATGAGCAGTACCTCCTGGGTAATGTGGAAACCTGCTGAAAGAATAAATAAAAATCCAACCTCGTCCCGCACTTTTTGTATTATTCTAGCTAAATTTTGAAAATTCTTCCCGTGAAAGAACATATTTTTAAATAATATATTTTTATTATTTATATTCTGAAGTGCTCCAAAAACGCGAGACTTTGAAAATTTCAAAAAAAATTGTCTGCGGCGCCATATAGCGGTTTATGGGCCTCACCTTAATGAATGGTCACGAGCCGCCACTGAGTTTGCTAATAAAATATTTAAGTATTCTAAATACCTACTTTTAAATATTTTAACTCATCCTTATGTGTTTTACAAATTAATCAATTTAATAACTCAATCATAACTGTTTATAAAATCAGGAAAATCTTTCGTTAATTTTAAGCAGTTTAATAACTGCAAACTGCAAAGTTCCAAGGCCATTAATAACTTATATTTATAATACGTCCGTAGGGACACACTTTGCACATAGTGGTAGTTTAAATGGATAGGGTTTAAACTACAAACAAGAACAACGATGTAAGAAAGAAATGTAAGCAAGATATGCATGCCTTAAAAAACGTATGTCGTAGCAGTGGCGGCTCGTGGGTGTATATCAGTGTGCTATAAGGTTAATTTTGTCTAAATACGAATAAATTTTAACGTAACCCAGGAAGTATTATTCTGCTACGCGTTGACCTTTTTTAAAAACTAAAAAAAATTAAAATAAAGAATATATCAAAGCAATCTTAACCCAAACCACCCATACTACGTATTAGATCGTCGCTTTAAACTTTAACTTTAAAGACAAAAAAAGTAAAAATAAAATCTCTTACCGAGCCACAGTCTTTTCGCAATATCAGGCGGAAATATTAGATGTAATAAGCTGACATTTTTCTCTCGTTCTTTGTCGACCGCTCTGTTTCCCTCTTCTATTGAACTTTTTAGTTTATCCATACGGCGTCGTAAGCCATCCTGAAAATAAGACTTTATTTGAAGAAATTCGCAAATGTGAAATTTTAGCGTTATAAAACCTCAATTTTGACGACATGGGTCTGTCTATGATTTGTGCCGTTACCGTCCCCAAAAGTGAAAAATGTAAAAAATAATTAAAAAATTAAAAAATCTCAATGGTCTTAAAGCACTTGTGATAGCAAAGATTCATTCAAGTTTTGCAAATTAAATTTTTAATGACCAAAGCTTTAAATCGGTAATTAAAAAATTAATAAACTTGGCTTTTATTTCAAAGTTTTATGATCCATTTGATTCCGCAAATTTTAAATGCATATAACAGCGGACTTTAATGCCTATTTTAACGATACGAACTAAAATTTATAGTTTATAAAGACAATTTTAACAATGACTTCATGCAAAAGATCTTGAAGAATTAAAGTAAAAATAAGTAGTTTTGAAAATAACTTTTTGGATACTGCCTGCAAATATTTAAAACATTTATATAACTTGTATTTATTAAAGATGAGAAAAAAATAAGTGCTCACATTCTAGGCCATAAAAAACTTGTCGCGCATTTTCCCTACTCGAAGTTGCTGAACAATTTACTTTTTGAACACGGAATCGAAGTCCATTTATAAATCGTTATGTACCTTTCTTTAAAAGTTTATTACTTTAAAATTGACATAACGTTCGAAGATGGGAGCATAAGAGTTCCGAGGATTATCTCAATATAACGGCTTTGGAAAACAGTCGGACTGAACTTTTCCTAATCGATACCGAGTAAGATTATCCTGCAGCATGCTTAATAATTTATACGAAACGGAGGGATCCTAACTGCTAATTTTTTGGAAAGTACCAAATTAAATTAAATTTTTACAAGATTATTAGATAATATTTAATATTTATTAAAAGCAATATATATATATATACAGTGTGTCCGTAAAGTCCCGGAACATGTGATTATTTTGAAAACGCTAATTTTTTTTAAAAAACGCTGAAACACGCCAACTTTGATATTTTTCTAGCAATATTTTAGCATATGTAGTTGTTCCAAATTCTGCCGCGTGGCGGCGCCACAATCAAAGTCAGTTTTTTTTAAATTGCAACCCTTTATTTTTGTTGCATTTTTGGATAGTTACCGTTGTCCTGATTACATTGATGTGCCACATCTGGGGGGTTACATAAGAAAATTTTTGAGAAAATCAGGTTTTTGCTGCCGAATGAGATTTTGGTATTTTGTCAAACTTACACAATCTATGCGTTGCTTAATGTTTTTGGAAAGCCAATCAGAGCAGTTGCTCAAAGTGTCCACCGTAAACTATTTGGAAATGGAACAGCCTGTCTACAAACGAGCGTTGTACGTTTGCCAGTACCGCTGGAGTGATCATCTGGATCTCGGCTTGAATGCGGTGTCTTAGGTCGTCCAAATTTTAAGGCCTGTTTACATAGACGCGGTTTTTAGGAGGTCCCCATAAAAAGAAGTCTAAAGGGTTCAAATCGGGCGATCGCGCTGGCCACTCAATTTGACCCCTTTGACCTATCCAGCGATTGGGAAAGACCTGATTTAAATAATCCCTTACTAGCAATGCATAGTGCCCCGTAACAGCGAATAAGTTCGTCAAAACCAAAATCTTAATCAGCGGCAAAAACCTACTTTTCTCAAAAATTTTCTTATGTAACCCTCCACATGTAGCATATCAATGTACTCAGGACGACGGTAGCTATCCGAAAATGCAACAAAAATAAAGGGTTGCTATTAAAAAAAAACTGACTTTGATTGTGGCGCCGCCACGCGGCAGAATTTGGAACAACTACATATGCCAAAATATATATATATATATATACATTTATATGCAAAATTATATGGCAATATAGGCAATAAAGATTTTCGAGAAACCCAAGTCATCCAAATTGCTCTTTTAATAAATATTAAATATTCAACATAGCTATTTCAGAATATACAAATTTTATAATAATCTATATTAATGTATGTATTAAAATATTTAAATTGTATTCGTAGAATTTATAAACTGTCATATTCGTATACATTTTTAAATAAAAATCGTAACATGTATTGTAATATTTAAATGCACAAAACGTGTTTTCAATACTAATTCGTAATAAATAAATTTTTAAAAACTATCATTTCAAATCAAAAATTTATAAAAAATGTTTTATATATCTAATACAAGGTGTCCCTAAACTTAGTGGCATAAATTTAGGATCAGATTAAGCAAGTCAAAATTAGACGAAAACCCAAATAAATATTTTTCCTAATTACTTAGGTTTCCAAGGTACATGATGATAAAGTGTTACTTATCATATCAGTTTTTTGAATATAACCTCTACTATGGTAATCTGATATTTTGCGAACAGTCACTTACTATAGTATACCAAAACCACAGACCACCAAAACAAATGGACGGCGCATTGCCATTCAATAACAATGCTTTGTTTGCGGTCAACAAACGGTCACAGTCTAAGCGTCAAATTGGAGATAGAATTTTATGTTTTCTTCCAGTGACGTCAACAAACGGTCACAGTCTTAGCGTTAAATTGGCGATAGAATTTTATGTTTTCTTCAAGTGACGTATTGGGATTAAAAAAATAATAAGTAGGTAGGTACTTACAAACGATATTTCCATGTATTGTTATTTTTAGTAAAAAATAATGTATTTAAACTCCATAATTAACTTAAACACGATAGAAATACACAAACGAAAACACAAAACAACAAGCTGTCAACCTTTTTCTATGCTGTCAAATACACTTAGCAGCAAAAGTATCGCATAATGTTAATAATCGTTATAATTCGTTTAAAAATAAATCTTTCTAAAACATTTTGAGAGCACCTGGTACACTAATAAGTAATTTTAATAAAACCATGTATTTATCTTGTAATGTACGTTTTTTATATATTTTTTTTTACAAAAATTATAAAAACCTAATATCGGAATATTATTTCTTTAGCATTAAAATGTTCTTCAGTTGGTTTTCTGTAGTGCAAATGATCGTTTTACATTGCAATAATAAAAATGAATCAAAACCAAGTTCAAAATTGAAATTTAACAGAGCAGCAATCTGTAATAGCTGTCACTCTGAGTAATGAAGGAAGAAATCAGGCGTACATTGCTCAGCAGCTAAATGTAAATCAGTCTACCATAAGTAGAGCTTTAAGCCGATTCAGGGAAACAGGGCAGTATACAAGAAGACTTGTAACAGGACGTCCAAGGGTTACTACTCTCGCACAGGACCGTTTTCTCAGATTAGTGACGCTTAGAACACGAACTGTGACGGCGCCATATCTCCAAAATCGGCTCTTAGATGCCCATCAAGTGCAAATTAGTACAGATACAATAAGAAGAAGGCTTCGTGAAAACAATCTGACTCCTCACCAAGCTGCTACGGGACCGTTACTAGCCGCAGCTCATAGGAGAGAAAGACTTCAATTTGCTCGAGATCATGCAAATTGGGTAGAAGATGATTGGGCCAGAGTTCTTTTCTCCGATGAGTCCAGGTTTTGTCTCTACAATAATGATCGACGTGTAAGGGTTTACAGACGTGAAGGAGAGCGCTACGCTCAGTGCAACATACTCCCCAGGGTGAGCTACGGAGGAGGGTCAGTTATGGTGTGGGGCGGGATATCTTTGCAAGCACGTACGGAGTTGGTGGTTTTTCAAAATAGGGCTCTCACTGCTCGAAGTTATATAGAGACAATTTTAGATCCCCATGTCATGCCATATGCCCCGTTTATTGGACCTAATTTTCTATTTATGCAGGATAATGCGCGCCCCCACACAGCCAGAATTGTTCGTGATTATTTACAAGAGGTTGGAATTGCAACTATGGTATGGCCTGCTAGAAGTCCAGACCTGAACCCGATCGAACACATATGGGACAACATGGGAAGGCAAATTACAGCCCGTCAAAACCCACTAAACAGCCTAAATGACCTCAGAAATAGCCTACCTGACATATGGGAGGCGATACCTCAAAATGAGGTTAGAAACCTTATTATTAGCATGCCAAGAAGGTGTCAAGACGTTATTCGGGCACGTGGTGGAAATACGCGGTATTGAACCCGAAATAAAAAATATTGTTACAAAATTTTATTTAAGAATAATTTTTAATAATAATTTTATAATGGATTTGGTATTATTTTTTGTTATTAAACTGAATATATAATTATTTTATGTCTTTTATTTAAACTGTAACCAAAATTTACTAAAAAAAATGTGTTTTTAAAGTTTTACAGAGATTTTTTAAATTATGCGATACTTTTGCTGCTAAGTGTATGACGAATTTACCAACGTTGTTAATATTTAATTTTAATAATTATTAAATTATTTACTTTCTTTAAATAGAGAAAAATATCTAAAGAAAATGATAAACAAATTCTTTTTACAATTTTTTTATTATTTAAACGAATTACTGGTAATTATTAATGTTCATTATGTTATGATGAACGTCCAAAAAGGCGTGTAATCTATACTTCTGACAACAATGTGAAACTATGCTTTACTCGCTTTTTAAACGTAAACAAATCCGTCCATTTGTTTTGGTGGTCTGTGACCAAAACACATATTCACACATAATTATAATTGAGGCGTTTCTCGGAAAAACATCATTAGTCCAATATCGTCGAAATTTAGATATTTGCACCAACTGTTTCCTAACCTCCATATATACGTATACAAATAAGTGTTTCTCGTAAAAATGTCATAGGTTCCATAATATTTAAATATGAAATTTAGCTTGTTCTTCTAAAAACATCACAAGTCCACTCCGTTTCGTCTAAGAAACTCACATGTTCATAACATGTGACATTTTTGGACACTCTAGAAAAGCTTCTACCTTTTTTACATGACCACAGCAATAGAAAATTTTATGATAACTTGATAAAAGAGCAGAAGACCATAGCATCTGACAGTCCTGATAACACGGTCGACAACGATGATAACAGCAGTGGATGCGAAGACTGAGTGTGGCAGTAATACAGTTTTTAGTTTTTTCATTTATTT